CCTGCTTTTTTTGGGGGGGGGGGGGGGGGGGGTTGACGATATTGGAAATCGCGCCCATGTCCATGAACCGAAGCTATGTTGAGTTTGTCAAGTAGATTGAAGAGTGGCAACCCAAGTGGCATATTTCGAGCCAGTTGAAAGCTTCAAAATGCCCTGAACAAACAAGGAACGCTTGTCGCGAGGGGACACTTTTCCCACGTTACGAAGCGACTCGGTTGGAACGTCCTCTTTCCCTCTTGTGTTCAACGGGCCGAGCACTAGCGGAACGGATACAACTAAGAAAAAAGGAGCGAGACATAAAGAATTTAAATGTGAACATAACCACCCAACATTATTGTTGATCCGTAACTACGAGAGAATGGAAGGTGTTGTGTTACTATAAATCGCGACAGACTGGAGGGTAAGAGGACGCAGTTTTATTTGAACATACAATATGATACAAACAGTGAATGATTCTCAGAGCGACAAGAAGGCCTGTGTGTCGATGGCAAAGCTTCCTTGGAAGGTGACAACTGAATAAAGTGGGGGTGTTCTTGCAGGCTTGGGAGAGAAATCAGAAGCTCACAGTTGCCACGCGCTACAACGAACTTAAGCTGTTGCCCACCGCGTAGACCCTACAGGTAGTACTGCGACTTGCCACCTGCCACCAGCATGGGTCGTCGCCTAGCCCGGCGGATTGCCACCTGCCAGCCGAATTAACTTTCAATTAACGAACTGGCCTAGTCGCGACACGGTCAACTTTCTCCGAGGCACGCGAACCTTCAGTTGGATTGTTCATCGGCATTTGCTTGCAACACTTTGCAATCACTGCCACAACATCAGACGCCATTTTCAACTTGTCCATCAACCCCAACTCATCATTAGACCAGTTGGATAGAGGGGCAATATGGCTGCCATGTAAGTCGCATACCTTTCTGGATTTCATGCTTTCGCGCGCTCTTGCTCGTCTAATCCTGCGACGACGGATGTGCCCCGCTCCATTTACGCCGTAGGGCACGGCTTTCACCGGCGGAGATCACAGCGCAGTGTCATTTCTAATACCTTCTTTTACAGCGAGAGTTTTGACAATATCTACTTGGATCTGTCCAAGGAGAGCGGAAAGTCGAGATTCGCGGAAAATGGCTTGGGATGGAAACCTGCGGGTGGCGGCGAAGCGTTCACTCTTGACTCGAGCAACATCGGCGGTGCTCAATGGAGCAGGGCGGCGAGGGGCTATGAGGTCAAAATCCTGTTGCGAAGCTCTGGCGTAGTTCAGCTCGACGGTTTCCACCAAGAAGTACGAAACCTATCCACGCGCCATCGAAGCGAAGGAACGCTGACGTGTTGCCACAGGATTACGAGCGCCTTAGCAAGATCTTCAAGAACTGGTACAGCGTGAACCTCGAGAACAAGGAACACTCTCTGAGAGGATGGAACTGGGGCAAGGCTGAGTTTAGCAAAGCCGAGCTTACTTTCAACGTCCAAAACCGACCGGCCTTTGAGATTCCTTACTCCGAGATTTCCAATACAAATCTTGCCGGAAGGAACGAAATCGCAGTCGAGTTCGCCGGCAACGATGGCGGCAAGTCGAACGGTCACAGCGGAACAGGCGGAAAGGGCAAGAAGGCGTCGGCCGGCAAGGATCAGCTGGTCGAGGTGCGCTTCTACATCCCTGGAACAACAACACGAAAGGAGGCCGAGGGTGGTGAGGCTGGTAGCGACGCCGATGAAGAAGAGAAGAACGCCGTGACTCTGTTCTACGACACCCTTATTGAGAAGGCCGAGATTGGTGAGACGGCGGGTGATACTATCGCTACATTCCTCGATGTGCTACATCTCACCCCCAGGTACGTGGAAACTACACGTTGGTTGTTGATCCTTTTCCGATGCTAACTCTCCCGATAGAGGACGTTTCGACATCGACATGTACGATGCTTCCTTCCGTCTCCGTGGCAAAACATACGACTACAAGATCCAGTACGATGCTATCAAGAAATTTATGGTGCTCCCCAAGCCGGACGACCTCCATTTCTTGCTTTGCATTGGTCTCGACCCGCCCCTTCGTCAAGGTCAAACACGTTATCCATTTGTGGTGATGCAGTTCAAGGCGGACGAAGAGGTGACTCTTGACCTGAACATCACTGAGGAGGAACTCAACGGAAAATACAAGGACAAGCTTCAGAGCCACTACGAGCAACCACTTCATCAGGTTGTGGCGTACATTTTCAAGGGACTTGCGAACAAGAAAGTCACTACACCCGCCAAGGACTTTACAACGTGAGTTATGATCTGTTCATTTCATGGCCAGCAACGGTACTGACCTAGGAACCCGCAGGCACCGTCAGCAGTACGGCATCAAGTGCTCTATCAAAGCCAGTGAAGGATTCCTCTACTGCTTGGAGAAGGCGTTTATGTTTGTCCCCAAGCCGGCCACGTACATCTCATACGAACAGACACAGTCCATTACGTTTTCACGCGTGGGCGGCGCGGTCTCGGCACTGTCGACATTCGACATTACAGTCCACATGAAAAACGGCGCGGGCTCATCCCAATTCAGCAACATTAACCGTGAAGACTTGAAGGCTCTCGAGGAATTTTTCAAGCTCAAAGGACTGCGTGTCAAGAACGAAATTGATGATGACACCAACCTTATTTCCGCCGCCTTGGGCGATGACGACATGGCTAGCTCGGACGAAGAGGCTGTCGGCCCAAAGGCTGATCGTGGCTCCGCTGACGAGGATGAGGAGAGCGTGGATGAGGACTTCCAGGCTGAGTCCGAAAGCGACGTGGCGGAGGAATACGACAGCAACCATGAGAGTGATGGGTCGGGCAGCGAGGAGAGCGACGTCGATAATCGGGTCGATGATGAGGATGAGGATATGGATGATGACGAGGGAGAGAAGCGCCCCAAGAAGAAGAAGAAGACGGCTTAGGTTTATTTTCCATGTTGGCGCGTCGTTACTTGTTTGATTAAAAAGCCAGATCACAGGCTGGAAGGCAGGCAGGCAGCTGGGTATTTGGGGCGTTCCGGTACTTTCGTGACACGAATATGTGTTAATTCTGTATTTTCTCTACCTCATATCGATGCGATGCTTGGGCGTCAAAGAAGACATTCCCAACGGCAGTATTAACCTACCAGTATCTCGATGTTCCCTCAATTTGGGCGCGCAAAGGAGCTAATGAACACTGAAGAGCGGCAGGCAGATGGTCAGCTACCTAGTTGATCCGTTATGGTTTTTTTTTTTTTTTTTTTTCCCCTTCGACTACAACGAATATAAGACATCGGCACATCCTTTGAGACTTTGCTTCTTGTTCAGGGCCGCAGGATAGAGGCGGTACTCCAAAAGTACGGCATGGAATGTATCAGCATGCAGGGCGCGCAGGCGGTTGAGGTGGGTATCGCTCTACCTCTAGCGGTCAAAGATCTACCTACCTCTAGGTACCTACCGACCTATGCGTTCTGTCTAGGTACCTGGTACGCAGTACACTACACTAGGATACACATTCCCGCCTTCTAGTGTACCTACCTAGTGGTGCCCTGCGTGGCCCGGTGGGCACTTCGGTTGATGCGGAGCGGTAGGTTCCTGCTGTGTGCGCTTCGGCAGACTTCCATTCAGCTGGGCTTTAATTCGGTTCCAAAGTTGAGCCCCACCAAGGCGGTGGGTATGACCCATTTCCGGGTTCCTCCTCCTCCCTTTGTTTTCTGTCGACCAGTCCAGAAGCCATTGATTGGTGCCAATCATCAGCTCACGGCCTCTCCTTGGTGCTGTATCGGACAGCCACATCTGCACCGTGATAAATTTATTCTCACTCGTCCTGCTGTTTTTTTTGAGACCTGATACCGCGCCCAAAGGAAGCATCTGCCTGTTTCGATCTTCACGTCCCGGAGCAGGGAAAAACAAAAGTACCCGATTAGCACCGCAAAGGAGATTTACAGTAATGGAAGCCAACTAAAAGGTTCCCGCCTTTGGAAACCATGTCTTTTTGGCGCTCCGCCTGCTATCTTTGAGAATGCCGACTCTCTCTTGACCATCGCTGCCCCAGGTTATTACAGCACTTTGACCAACAACTAAACAGCAAACAGCAGCCAGACACAACCACCGCCGACGTACAAAACATACCACGAATCCTTTCAACCCATTTTTCTTCCCCTCGAACTCTTCCTCCAAACAGCCATACCATGGACGCCCAGGTAAGGCTGCTTTCCCCAGCGTGAAAAAAATATCATCCCCGCAAACTCGCACCCGCCGACCCCGCCATATATCCGTCTGAATGGAGGGATCACAATGTACCTCTTTGGCACACGTCATTTCTCTCTGTCTTCTCGCGCTGACGGTCGTTTCTGCTACAGTTTGAAAAGGCGATTGAGATCGCCTTTGATCCTCGTTCCAGTCATGCCCTGAAGTCCCAGGCGCTCGAGTTCCTCAACCAAGTCAGGACCGACGTCCAAGCATGGCGTATCTGCGCCGCGCTCTTCACGCGAAGCCCCAGAGCATCCGACATCGTCCGCCATGTCTCCCTTGAAATGGTTAATAACGCCGTCCACTCTCAAGGGCTGGACGCCCCCGATCTCGCCTTTGTGAAAAATTCTCTACTCGACTATATCACACGCACATATGGTCCTAACGCTCAGGACCAAGCCGACCCTGCGAACGTTCAGAACAAGCTCACACAAACCCTCACGTATCTCTTTGTCGCTCTTTACGGCGAAGGCTGGGAAACCTTTTTCGACGACTTCCTCGCCTTGACCAGCTCCCAGAATGGTGCTTCAAGAGACAACCTCAGCGGCGTTATGCTGTACCTCCGCGTACTAAGCTCCGTCCATGACGAAATCGCCGACCTTATGATCAGCCGCCAGGGAAACGAGTCGAAGAGGAACAACGATCTCAAGGATCTAATTCGAGAACGGCATATGCAGAAGATTGCCATGTCGTGGCAGGATATCCTTGCTCAGTGGACAAATAAGCATGATGGCGTGGTAGAGTTGACGCTTAAGGTGATTGGGAAATGGGTCAGCTGGATCGATATTTCCCTTGTCGTCAGTCAGGACATGCAGAACTTGATCTTGCCCTTGGTTGGCAGAGTTAACAACACGAACAACAATATTGATACCGTGAGGGACACCGCCATCGATACGTTGACGGAGATTGTCGCCAAGAAGATGGGACCGAGCCACAAGATGGAGCTGATATCGTTCCTTAACCTCGGTGGCATCATCACAGAGCTGCTTGCAAGCCAAGGACTGCACGAGTTCAAGGGTACCTCTCGTTACGACAATGACCTCGCAGAAGTCGTTGCGAAGCTCCTCAACACCATCATGACGGACGTAGTACGGGTTCTGGAGGACAACAAAGTCGACGCCGAGACCCGAGCAAAGGCCGAACGTCACCTTCAGGATTTCCTGCCGGCCCTTCTCCGTCTATTCTCAGATGAATTTGACGAAGTGTGCTCGACGGTTATCCCTTCGCTCACCGACCTTCTGACGTTCCTTCGTAGGGTCGGGACACTCCCTGACAGTTATTCTCAAATGCTTCGCCCTATTCTGAGTGCCATTGTTGCCAAGATGAGATACGACGAGACTTCTTCCTGGGGCACTGAGGACGGAGAGAGCGATGAGGCCGAGTTTCAGGAGCTCCGAAAGAGGCTACAGATTCTTCAGAAGAGCGTGGCTGCCGTTGACCAGACTTTATATATCGAATTCTTGAGTAACCTTGTGGGCAACATGTTCGCAACGCTGGAGCAGCAAGGCCCACAAATGGACTGGAGGGATTTGGATTTGGCCCTGCACGAGATCTATCTGTTTGGCGAGCTTGCTCTGCCAAACGCCGGGCTTGCTCACAAAAGCGAACCTAATGTCGTTGCTACCGAGCGTCTTGCTGTCATGATGAGCAAGATGGTTGAGTCTGGTAAGAAGATTTATCGTCCTGAAAGGTCTGCTGGGTTTCGAGCTAACAACTTCAATAGGCATCGCAAACTTCCCCCATCCAGCTATTCTTCTTCAGTATATGGAGATTTGCGTGCGCTACCATGCGTTCTTCGAGTCACACCACCAATACATCGCTCCCGTACTGGAGAATTTTGTACACCTTATCCATCACGAGCACCCTAGAGTTAGGACCAGGTCCTGGTATCTTTTCCTTCGGTTTGTGAAGCAGCTGAGAGCCCAAGTGGGCAATGTGGCGAAGACTGTTATTCAGTCGATCAGCGACCTTTTGCCTATCAAGGCCGAGGTGCCGAGCACTGAAGCGGAGGACGATATGTCCTCGGATGAGTCTGATCACTCCGCCGACGCCATCTTCAACGGCCAGCTGTACCTTTTCGAGGCCATCGGCTGCATTTCATCTACCTCCACCACACCGGAGGCTGATCAGGCTCTCTATGCTCGCTCGGTCATGGAACCTCTGTTCTCCGATATGAGCGTACATCTGCCCCGTGCAAAGTCTGGCGATGCGCAGGCCATCCTCCAAATTCACCATATTATCATGGCCCTTGGTACCCTAGCCAACGGTTTTGCCGACCCAAACCAGTCACAGAACCCCAACAACCAGCGTACGCCACCACAAGCCGTCTCTGCAGAGTTCTCCAGGGCATCTGAGGCAATCCTGGTTGCTCTTAATGAGCTTAATGCCAATGGGGAGATCCGTGCCGCATGCCGTTCCGCCTTTTCCCGTCTTCTTGGTGTACTCGGGGCTACCATTCTCCCACAACTGCCCCAGTGGATCGAAGGGCTCCTTTCCCAAAGCTCCAGTAAGGACGAGATGGCGTTCTTCCTTCGCCTACTGGAGCAGATCGTCTATAACTTCAAGGGCGAGATCTATAACATCCTCGACCTCCTTCTCACCCCGCTTCTCCAGCGTGTGTTCGCCGGTCTCTCTGAACCCATCAACGGAACCGATGACGAGATCCAGCTGCAGGAGCTGCGTCGCGAGTACGTGTCGTTCGTACAGGTTATCCTGATCAACGAGCTTGGCGGCGTTCTCGTAAGCACATCCAACCAGGGTGTCTTCGAATCCCTCGTGAACTCCATCATGACTATTGCCAAGACTATTGTTCACGGTAACATCGTGGCCAGTCGCATTAGCTTCAATGTGCTTGCGCGGATGGCTCAACAGTGGGGTGGTCCTGACGTCGCTACCATCGGCGAGAACCCTACCGCCAACGGAGTGCCCGCGCCCGCTTTCCCGGGATTCGACCAGTTCATGCTCACCCAGTTCCACGCTGCGTGCTGGGAAGTCATGCAGGATATTAACTTCAGACCTTATGCCGATGCTCAAACACGGCAAATCCTGAACGAAATCACCGGTCTAGAGCAAATCATCTACCTCAAGACGGGCGAGAAGTTCATCAATCACTGTCAGACGGTTACGTTCCCGGCCGTTGGCATGGGTGCCGAGGACTTCTTGCGTGCGCTCACTAGCTCAACGGACCGCAAGGCCGTGATGGCTTACTTGCAGCAATTGCTCAAGAGCCGGCGATAGAGTCGCATGTGTCATGTGTCTGATGGTTCAACGGGGGCGAGAATTAGAGAGCAAGAAAGTGGGTGGTACTGAGAAGGAGGTGATGTGGCTAGGAGATGAGGATACCAGAGGAGGTTGCGAACGGACAGAGGCGAACAAAGTTGAGGGAACTCAATGTGGATGATAGACTGTGGAGGTAACCTTTGAGAATTTCGCATACATACCTACCTACTTATATATCTACCCCCTTCTGAAAAAAGTCAAATCATGTTGAAGGCGTCAAGGACAGGCAAAATTCATACCCCTATAATCGGTTTTCTAGTTCAAGGTCTACATGGTTTCGGTAGTCTCAACCACTGCTCGCATCATACAGAAAATAGACAAGTTGTACAGTAGACAAGACACAGCAATTATAATATCAGGGAGGCGTTATGAGATGGTTCTGGATCCCGATCTATCACATACGGCCATAGATGGTGGAAAACTCGGGATCCCGTCCGCTCTCCCATAGATAAGCCACCAATCGCTTGACTAGTAGTTGGGTCGGTGACGACCAGCGAATCCCAGGTGCTGTATGTTTCCATTCTTTTTCTATTTCCAATCTTTTTATTAATATCTTCTAGATCTTGTCTTGTCGTTTCTTTCTGCATCTTGGACACTTGAGATACTTGCTACTTCTTTTTTTTTCCCTACTTTGTGTTTCGGACTTCCTAAACTAGCAAGCTTATAGTTGCCAGACCTGAAGCGAAGTAATTTTATAGCAGAATTGTTACGCGAAGGCGTGCTTCACAAGTGATGACAACAGAGAATGATAGAGTGAGCAACTGGTTGCTGGACAGAACAACAGTGCGTAACGATTGACGACAGTCTTGTCTAAGGAAGCTGAAGATAAGAAGAGCTGTCGCGAGCCTCAACCTGGGACCTCGCACACGACTTTACTAAGTGTGAGCAAGATAGACGTTAGGTTGGTATAATATTGATTGATGATCCGGTCAACCTTGACAGAAGTTGATAGGACGAGCACTCTTATATGATAAGCTATGTGCTCTGCCGAGCGGCTGCCATGACAAGGTGAAGCATCTAGGTATCCACCAAGAATGCCCCGTAACAAGAATGCCTAAAAATTCGTGATGACTTGTCGTAAGCTTTACGTACTGAGTTGAGCTCTTTGCCAAGTTCATGGTTTCTATAGTTCTTCAAGTTGTCACCTCTCTCTCACCACGCCCTCTTGGTTGTGCTGTCCAGAGTGGTAATGTTTCTGATATTGTCCTTTTGCCCTACATATCTATATGCTGGCTAACAGGCAGATGGGCTACGATTTAGTGCCATCGACGGCAGGTCTTTTACTACAGGCGGGTAGTGGGTAAGATTATATTGGACGGCTCGTTCCTAAAGAAACTGATTCCTCAGACGTTTTCCAAAAGAGAAACCGCGTCCTCTAGAGAACAAGTCGCGCTGAAAGCACGGTGTCCCATGGATAGCTCCTCCGCGATATTGAATATCATAAGTTAACGTTGTTACAGTATTGAAATCGACACGGGAACCATTCGTCTTGTGAGCAGTCTTGCGAGTGTAAAAAAGCCCCCGACTTATATACCTAGTTTGCAAAAGATTCACACAATTGCACTTTACCGAGGTGTCAAGATTTATATATAATGAGATAGCTTTCCTGCCAGAGTCATTCAAGGTCCGCTGGCTCAATGGCAGAGCGTCTGACTACGAATCAGGAGGTTCCAGGTTCGACCCCTGGGTGGATCGACTTTTTGTTTTCCAGATTTTTGCCCCATTCCTTCACTATCTCTAAACCCCTTTTCTTTTTCTTTTTTCTTTTGCTTGTTTCCTGTCCTTTTGAGTGAGGTAAATAGGACAAAGATAATTGATTACAAACACATTCTAAGTAAGGACAAGTAGACCGTGTTGGAGGTGGCGTGTAAATATCGTAGATCAGGCCTACACGCCGAACAAAACACACCAGGTTCAGTGTCCAAAACACCCGATATACCTCACCAACGATGGTGGTCCAAAAGAAAAATAAAAAATATTCACGACTATGTTGTATCTCTGTGGTGCGTGAGGTCAACGCCGGGCTTAACTTTTGGGCGCGCCTATGAAGGTTACTGTAGTCTCTCAGGGCAACCATCCCAGTGCGCTTAATTTGCAGTGTTTTGGAAGCGAAAATTACACCCATCATGCTCCTAGCACTTGCTACCGTAAATCGATCACTACTGCTTGGTGGTTGTCTCATCCTCCACCTTCTTCGCCTCCACCTCATCGACCACCTTGGTGTTACCCTCCTTCTTGGCACCCTTGGGCGTAGCAGGTTGCGTCAGAATCTTGACAGCATCCTTACTATACACATAGCTAGCACCGCTCCAGATCGTCGTGACAGCAACGCCATATCTTTTTGGCGCCATACCTTGTCAGTCATCATCTTCTATCAATACACCATAACCCATAATTAGGAGAGAACTTACTGCATCACCATCAGACTCCACGCCAAATCCAACGCCGGCACAACTGGGGCCACAGTCGTCAACCCCATCAACCCCAACTGCAAGGCGGTGTTATACTTGCTGATCGCTGTCGGTCTGACCTCCGCACTGGGCAGCGAAAAGTCCCAATACCGTGCCATCGTCTTGGGCGGCGGCAGCGAGATCCAGCGGAAGTACAAAGCAGAAATAGCCAGGGCCACGTCCCTTCCCAAGATAATAACGGCCAGCCAGACGGGCAGGAGTCCCTTGGTTGCCAGCGTCACAGTCAGCACCGTCATGAGCGTCTTGTCGGCCATGGGGTCGATGATGGTGCCGACCACAGTACCCTGGTTCCATTTCCGCGCAATCCAGCCGTCCAAAAGGTCGGTCACGCCCGCATAGGCGAAAAGACCGAGGGCCCAGGCATGATGATCGTGTAGGATACAGTAGCCGATGAAGGGGGCAGCGACGAGGCGAGAGAAGGTCAGCCAGTTGGGGATGGTGTGGATGTTCTCGCGCTTGGTGATGGCACCGGTCTGTGGGAGGGCGGCTTTGAGCGCTGCTGTAGTTTTGGCGAGGCGAGATGGTGGTTTTGGTCTTTGAAGGAGGGAGTGGGTTAGTGAAGTGTCGGGTCATTTATATGTGAGTTAAGATGAATATTGGCACGGGGGCACTCGGCGACTCAAGTGAAGTGTATGATGAAATGAGCCAGGACATAATCAAAATATTTGGCCAAATCAACTCATGTCTTCATGTCATCATGACCTACCCGCTCTTGTCTTCCTGACTCCTCCACCACTTGGACACGGTAAAATGCCTAGCACGCACAGCAGGCGCAACAGACAATCCGTTGTTCATGCGACCTCGGGCTGAACATGACTGCCATAGTGAATGTGACTGCAGGAGAACGATGGGCGTTTTCAAGCCACCATCTTGGAGGCGATGTTGCTGAACAAACAGCCTCGAGGTCGTCGACTGGGAAAGAGAAGCGGAAGCGGAGCGCAAGCCTAACAAGGGCGAGGTGTTAAGTCGCAACATGTTGAATGAGTGAGTGGTGTGGATGTGTAAGAGCTGAATGAATGTGGTGAAGGTCGTATGGAGATGTCTCTTTCGTCACTGCATTCTCGCCCCGTCAATCATTCGTCGGCTGTACGATTTCGAGAAGAATACCGGATTTAGTAGGACCGGGACTTTGCTAGGCGTCGCAATGCTCCTCTTCCCCTGTCGATGTGGGTAAGTCAAGATGTCGGTTATTTTTAGGGAAAAGAAAAAAAAAGAAGAGCAATGACCACGAAGTGAGGCGCACACGATGTTCCCAAGACACCCACGACAAAACGATCTGTTTACTTAAGCCCTGCCTTTACGACGGATCGGTACAAGATAATTGGGACGACGATCCGCCCTCATCCGTCGGCGAGGACCTTCGTTGGTGGGGTGTGAACGGAGTGCGCCGGGCTTTGTACCTCGCAGTAGTTAGTTTTGCCAGCAATCGGATGCACGGTGCACCCTCGCATTTTAGTGCATCAGATTTGTTTCGGAAATTTTGATAGGTCTTCTACCATCGGCCCCGCCCGGCCGATAAAGTGGGACTGACACCGGCCTCATCCCGGAGCCCCGAAACCGGAGCATCCGACTTTGCTCTGTCCTACTGTATTGTTACAGACCGCCGTTAAGTGAAATGGCTCTCAAACTAAGGCATTGATTTTTCATACAATCGGTAGGACTTCACTCTCTATATACCAAGTATTATACATATTGACAAATTCTACTCCAAAAATCAACCTGACCTTCCCATCCAGTATATGCTACGCTTTTCTTCAAATGCTATCGTTACACCAGACACCTTTCCCCTTTTTTGGTAATATCTTCAATCATCTCGGCCAGCATGTCAGAGATCAGCAGCCCTCACCTTAGCATCCACAGTCTCCATATCACCCTCAGCAGCAGTCAACGCCTCACCAACGGCGTCAAGGTCTGCTTCGGGCGCCTCTTTGCTCCACTCGGATGCAATCTCCTCAAGACCTCCGGACCTGCTACCGCTCTTGAGGTCCCCATTCCTCCTCTTCACATACGCGAGCAACCGCATGCATCCAGCGGGGGTTATACCTTCTATCCTCCTTGCCTGCGCCAGACTCTCGGGCCTAGTGGCCTTGAGCACGCCCTTCTCGGCCAAGGAGAGGCTAGCGATCTGGTCATAATCCAAATCAAGCGGCAGCCTGAGATCCTCCTCGCGCTCAAACCTGGCCCGCTCCAACTCGTGCTTTTCGATCTGGGGCGCGTACAGCCCTTCGATAAAAGTCCGCTCGCGCACGCGTTCCGAAAAGTCCATCAGCTTAGGCACAACACCCGACTCATAAAGCTTCTCAATCGATGCTCCCTTAAAGCAGAGAATCTCCAAGGCGCTGCGCCTGCGGCTGTCCGCCTTGACGTCGAAGCCGGCATTCTGCCAGGCTTGTGGGGACAAGATGGTCTCGCTGAGGATGCGGCGCAGTTCGGCCATCTGGCCGTTCTCGTCCTGAAAATGGCTCCAGCGACGGTCGCCAACGACGCCCCAGCTGCGGCCGAGGGCGGTCAGACGCGAGTCGGCGTTGTCGGACCGCGTGGTCATGCGGAATTCGCTGCGCGAGGTGAACATGCGGTAGGGCTCCGAGACGCCCTTGGTGATGAGATCGTCGATCATGACGCCGATATAACCATCGGCCCGCGAAAGAGTGACGGGTTCAAGACCAATAGCGGCCCGGCCGGCGTTGATTCCGGCGACAATACCCTGGCCTGCTGCTTCTTCGTAGCCAGTGGTACCGTTAATCTGTCCGGCGAGCCATAGACCGCGGATGGCCTTGGTCTCCAGTGTGCGCTTCAGGCTGCGGGGGTCGACATAGTCGTATTCAACACCATAACCGGGTTGGGTCATTATGACGTCCTCAAGGCCGGGAATGGTGCGAAGCAATGCCAACTGGGCCTCGGCGGGCACAGTCATACTCAATCCGTTCGGGTAGATAATATTGTTGTCGAAACCCTCGGGCTCCAACCACACAAGATGGCGCTCCTTCTCACTGAAGCGGATAATCTTGGACTCGAGCGAAGGGCAATACCGAGGTCCCTTGACTGTCTCACGAATATGAATCGTCTTGTCGAGATTTGCGCGCACAATCTCGTGTGTCGCATGATTGGTGTAGGTGGCCCAGCAGTGAAGTTGGTCCTTGACAGCGACAACCTCGTTTAGGTAACTGAACGGGTTTGGCGGATCATCGCCATACTGCTTTTCGAGAATATCGAAGTTGATGCTCTTCTTGTCTAACCGTGGCGGCGTTCCTGTCTTCAAGCGCCCGAGCTTGAACCCGGCCTCCCTAAGCGACTTGCTGAGACCAAAAGTCGCCTTTTCACCCATGCGGCCCGAGGGATATGCTTCCATACCGATGTGGATTTCGCCGCCGAGGAATGTTCCTGTGGTGATGATCACTTGACTTGTGGGCAGGACCTCGCCCGACTCCAACCTGACACCAGTAATCTTGGATCTCGCTCCGTTGGAAGGATTATCGTTTTCGGAAACTACAATGTCGGATACACTGTTGTAGACCAGGGAGAGGTTGGGATATGATTCGAGCTCTGCGCGCATGTGCTTCTTGTATAGCGCTCGGTCGATCTGGGCGCGAGGACCCCAAACGGCGGGACCCTTCTTCCGATTGAGGACTCTGAACTGAACACCGGCTTGGTCGATGATACGGCCAGCGAGGCCATCGAGAGCATCAATCTCGCGGATCATGATTCCTTTGCCGATACCGCCGAAACTAGGGTTGCAGGAACAAACACCAAGATTCTCGACGCTGGGTGTCACTAACGCCGTCCTCGCGCCAGCGCGGGCAGCCGCAGCGCACGCCTCGGATCCAGCATGACCTCCGCCAATAACGACGACATCAAAGGGCCTGGACAGTATCGGAAGAGCTGGTCAGACATGGTAGTTTCCTTTTGGCTTCCGAAATAGGTAGATGGCGATAGTGTGCTTGTCGTTGACTGGGTGGTCAAGTACTCACCTCGCATCGGATTCGACCGTCGCAAAGGTCCTCGTCTTGATGATGCCAGTGCTCCAAAACTGGTAGAGCGGCCGCCGAAGGGGCCGGCCAAGGCTCCTAGAAATCAGGAGTTTTGACATGGCTGAGGTTGCGCGGATCGCATGGAGGCAAAAGGATGAAGACAGTGAAGATGGACAAGCAATGTAGCGGCCCTGACCGGAAAAAAAAGTGGACCCAAACTGACCTGGGGCTTTGGTACCACGCCGCGGGGTCTATCTAGCGTTCACCTTTCACAACTGCTGCTGCCCCTGCCCTGTAGCTAGTACTGTAGGCATCAGGAACCCCACGTCCCCGATCGACACCAAACAAACACAGGGCATGAGCACAGGCAGGATGGTAACACCTACCGTAGAGACTCGCGAAAATCGCCATAGCCATTGCGCAGAAAACCGAAGACCTAAAAGGTCTAGCAGTCGCATTCCATGGCGATCGTCAATGAGCATGGACGTGATTGTTAGACACCTCTGACCCTGCATTGTCTATGGCGAAATTCTGCGAGTTTCGACGGTAGGCATCACAGTATCAACCTTCAATATGCATACGACACACGGAAGCTCTGCAAATTCTAAGAAAGAGAGATAGATGATGGTACATGGGTATATAGGAAAGAACTTAGCTTCGCGAAGCTACACACAGCGTCCTGCTGAAACCCAAAGTTCGTAATTCGTAATCGACAATCATATTTGGCGTACATGCCCCTGGCCCATCGTACAACGACCGGACTCCATCGAGCCCATTCGTGGAACCCCCAGTAACAGTAGCGACGCCAGCAGCGAACAGCAACTGTCGATTGGCCATATGCCAAGCTCAGCTCAACTTTACTGCTGCTCCTGGGCCTCGCCCTCGGCCTCGGCCTCGGTCTCGGGGGTCTCGCGGGGTCCGGTATAGGGACGGCGGAGGACCTCGATGTTGCCTATGGTTGTTGTTAGTTAGCAATGAGCAGATGTGAAATGGAACGGCGCATTGGTGCTGATGTGACGTACGATGAAGGATGTTGACGGCTTGTCTGTTGCGACCCTCCTCATCGCTCCAGTTCCTCAGGGACAGGTCGCCCTCGACGAAGACGGTGGTTCTGTCGCTGGCAGTCAGTTTTATCGTTCGACCACACCACTGGGGCTAGAGTTACGCACCCCTTGGGCAGGGTCAGCAGGAAGTCGCGCGCCTTGCCCTCGACAAAGCTGGTAATGTTGAACCAGCTGGTAACGCGGTCGCTGCGGGGACCCGAGTTGCTGGCGACAGCATACTTGATCATCTCACGGCCCGTGCTGGTAGCGCGGACCTCGGGGGTGTCAGCGAGGTTGCCGATGATCTGGACGCGAGCCACGCCGCGGGCGGAGGTAGAGCTGAAAGAGCGGACGGCCGGGCGGGCGGCGGCGCCAAAGACGGGGCGGAGGAAGGCGGACATGTTGAGGGCTTGACTGGTTGGGTTGGTCGGATGGGTGGTGTTGAAGCTGTTGGAGGATCGGATTTGGACGTTTACTATGTAGACTTTAGCTTCTCTAGAGGGGTTCCAGCTAGCTTCTAGACGTTTCAATTCGTCACGTCCAGGTCCCCAAATCCACCACCGATTTCTTTTCTCCATGATGCATGGGGTCCGATAAGATAAGAGATCCCTCCAGTTAGCGTCGGCGCTGCTTCCGTACCTGTGTAATGGCTGTCTATGTGCACACCATGGCGTCAAAAAAGCGTCTTGCCCACACTAACACTTCCCTTGCTTTGCACTGCAGCCAACACCGTAACTTTCAACTCGACCATTTCCTGTGATTTCGTTGTTCTCATCTTCCGTTTCTTCATCACACCAACCATGGCCATCAAACGGTGGGAATTTTTTCTTCTGCTGATGTGAGCTCCTCGGAAGTCTCAGATCGATTTCCGGAATTGGATCCCACTCGACCGACTGCCTCATCAGGCCTTGTTGTTGATATCACTCATCACCAAGTTACTATCTTTACCTCCCTTGATGGGTAACATATCACAATCTACAGCAACTTGATCTTCAGCCCTCCAAGGACGATGGCAACTAAGCAAAGACCGGCAACAGGCAATCGGCTACCCACCGGAAGCCACCCAGCTTTCCGGGACCGGGCGTTAACAGCCAAATCCCGAGCGCGCTCTCGGTCGGCAGAGCACGTGATTTGTACCACCACTGCACCATGCTGAGGATCTCGGGTTACACTCAACGGCACCGAAAGAAGTTACACCAACAAGATCGATTCGGCCGCTTCTACTATGCCAATTGACAAACGGCAACTACACTCCATTTTTAAACAACTGCGATGCTAAGTTTGCTTTCGGGAAAATGTGTCTGCGACAACTTACACGTTCTTTCTTCCCATCTTTGGTTGAGGCCCGCGCTAAACCCCTTTTGGGCTTGAATAGAGCCTCAATAAGGATGCTCGGTTTGAATACACTACTCTATAGTAGACATCGGATGGCAGACTCATTCATCACCTACACCAAACTTTATTGCTTTTGGGTTCGCTCCACCAGCGCGATTGAGACATTCCGTCTTTCCCATTCACAAATCTTTCCTATAAGCTGCCGTCTCTGAATAGATCAATAGATCATGCTTCGACCCGACTCCATTTCAGCCATCGTCGGCGTCATGCCTCTCTTGAACTTCCTCCTCTCATTGTAGCCCCTGGTTTGACTTTGGTTTTAACGCTGATATCGTCGCCATCCTCGCCTTTGTCGTCGCCCATTTGATGTCAGCCCTCATCTGTTGTCCCGTTACGCCAATTGCTCACTGCTCGGACTTTCGCGAGTTTCTGTATCACCCGTGCATCGAAAGCACAGAAACATCCGTCACGGGTCTATGAAGAAGAGATTTCAAAATGAACAACACAGATTCTTGGGCAAGTGCCGCCGACATTACCACCCCCTACACCACCACACCCGAAGAACGACTTGGCCCTCCCGCTCCTTACACCGATATTGGCCTCCAGGTCAACCTTTTCTTCAGAGTCTTTCTGGGGATCCTCGGAATCCTCATTCCTCTCGTGCCTGCGAGGCTATTATGGATCAATGGCGAATTTTCTGCCACGGTACATTGCATGTCGACAGTCACGCTCAACTTCTTTTACGTCGTCAACTCGCTCATATGGCGAGACAACAACGTCAAGAAGTGGTATGCTGGCTATGGGTGGTGTGATTTCCATACTTACGTCTTCTTTGCGGTCGAAACCATCTTTCACACCACTCTCTTCGACATCATGCTCGGTCTTGCCAACAAGATTGGTAACCCGCGAGTCACCAGCCTCAGTCCTAAGGAAAAGAAACGCAAGGACCGAATTTCGGCCCTCATCATCTTCGGAAATCCGTTGTTACAGGTCTTGCTCACGTACTTCATCATCACGCAACGGTACGACATCTTAACCCTTGCCGGTTGCAATGCCGTCTTTGATCCCAATGGCGTCTTCTTTGTTTTCTTCATTCTCCCCTCGCCAGTCTTCACGGTTGGGGCAGCAGGCTTGGCAGGTAAGATATAAAGTAAAGCCCATGGAATGTTTCGTAATCGCTTACAATGTGTACAGGAGTTTGTTTTTACAAGTACCGACAGCTGGAGAAACTCACTCGCGAAGTCCTACCAAGTGATGATAGTATACGAACCGCGAGACAAAAACGCCTGCGGCGAAAGCTCTACTTTCTCACTCTCTCTATTCTGGTATTAGTTGTGCCGATTGTTTGCGTCTTCTTCGTCTTCAACCTCATTCAGGGTTGGCCGTGGACGCTGCCGTTCGACCTCCATCGCATTCACGCCAACATCAACTTTGTCTCGTTCACAACGACGGAAAGAATGCAAGTCTCCACAGTCCTTACCAATTATGTTCCAGTGGTGAGCTCGGTGGCCATTTGCATCACCTTCGGTACAACAGTTGAGGCATATAACCAATATCGCTTGGTTCTCGTTTTTCTTGGCTTAGGAAAGATTTGGCCCAAGCTGTATCAAGAATATGACCCCGATGAGTCTGAACCACCATCTGAGCTTAGTACGCAAACAAGTTCGCAATCGTGGTGGTCATCCATGACGAAAAACGGCAAAAGGGGTACAGTCACAAGGTATGAAACTCACAAGCCTCACAACATAACCATCACATGAGACCACCTGGATGCTAATGTACAGTTGATTGAACAGCTATAGTGGAAACGACTTCTCTATCCTTCCTACTACTGAGGACATACCCCTCACAAACCGACCAAAACCTGCACAAACTATGGGTGAAGGCTCTCATACCGTTCCACGTTCTCCATATGATGAATTCAGAAAAGAGTTCTCGGACTTGTACCCTAGCCAGTCCTCACCCACAGCAAATGTCAACCGTAATCCCTGGCCCGATTTGTCAGATGATCCCTCCCCTCCAGCGCGCAACCCATGGTATCTCCGACCGAATGCTTTCCACGTCCCCATCACATTGCCAATGCCACTGTCACCCATTTACATACCATCCCTGCACGCGGGTCTAGCAAAGAACACGGAGGGAAAGCAGAAACGGACGACTATCAACAAGCTTTCTCAAGGCTACACCACACTCAGCAGCTCCTCCACAACAATCCTACCGCCTTCGAATTCACCTACCTGCCCTCTTCCGCCGATTCCAACCCCCACATTCTCCTCAAGACATTCACCACAGGAGGGGCGATATCGGGCGACGAGAAAGGCACAAAAACAAAAAGAACCAGATACGCTAAATAGCACAGGCAACGGGACACTCAAGAACCCATTGATGCCAGCGGCACCATGGAGTCCCTTTGCTTCCAGCCACACCAACACTACCCTAGGAGTTGACACACGCGTGTGGTCCCAGAAGGACAAAGACGACTCTGCGGGCCATGCCCAAGACTCGCCAATCTCCCATTCTTCTCGTGCAACCACAGGACCTCCTCAGCTTTCACCGCCGCCATCATACAGTGTCGCTGTCGGCCAAGAATCCTCCTTTGCTTCCGCTTCCGATCGATCGACGGGACTCGGAATCAGTTCGCCTGAAAATCAACAGATTGGGACGGCGTTAGGACATCCACCGAGAGGCGGGGTGGTCAGGGTTGAGACCCATATAGCGAGTGAGATTGAGGTTATTGGTGGTCCTGGACGTGATGATGGGAATGATCGTGATGATGATCAACGAAGTGGAAGGGAGTGGTAGGTGAGGGCGTTGGAGGCGCGTTTTTGGAAAACAGAGCGTGGGTTTTGTGGGTTATGCGTTTGTGTAATAGTAGGTCATTTCAGGGCCTTCGGAAAGTTAATGGTCGAAAAGGATTGAGCTTACGGTTGAAGAGTGAGTGTCTGGGTGGGAGACATGATTTGGCTTGGGTGGCGATCTTTGAGTTCCGTGATGGAGATACCCCCTTTTGAACTATTCTTCGAGTTTGCTTGATGCTATAAGTAGCCCTTAATCCTTTTGCCCAGCCTATGTTCATGGGCTCCATTTTCCATTATACTTCTATTCACTTGACGGCTCTTGGCTTGACGTACGGATACTCAACCAAGAACGAATGTCCATTTCTGTCCGTAGCAGTCCGACATCTAGTCAGTATTTTGGCCACAGCCATCCAGTTATGCCTCATCCTACCTACTCATGTATTATACAAGTACAATCTTACTTATGCACGCCTTACTTCCCAAGTTTCCACTTGAGACATACGAACGTAGTGTGTTTCTGTTTCACGTGGCTATGGCTGCGGCCATGTTGATGTACGTTCAGTCGAAGGTATACAACCTGGGGTCGCAAAAGCACCGCACGATGTACGGTGGTCTGGTACTGTGTGTTCTTAACGTGTTTAAAATCAAAGTGTGCAAAATTTGTAGCAATGAAGGATGGAAGAGAAGCCAAGATGTGGATTCATCAGCTACATACCCCTAGTCAGGTCTCGTGAGCAATTTCCTACCACTTTAGGTCATCGACGATAGTGCGATAGAAGTTGCATTGACAATGGCATGTTCAGTCGTGGTTTATTGAATGGCATCAAATCTTAGGACAAGACGAGGGTGGATGGTTAGGTAACAGTGGTAACCATGGGGGCTGGAGAAAAGGCAGAATGATGGATATTGATTATAGTATTCAAGACGGCTTTGATCAAATAATTGTCTGTCCAGGGTCATACGGCAACCTTCGTGCTTTCTTGAGAAACCTGCTTTACATTTTTCATATGTCTTGCTTTGAGTTCAAGCCGAGCGTTCGTATACACATTCCATGAACTAAACAATGGCGACATGATGAAGGACAGAGGTGACAAAAGAAGAAACAAATGGCATGCCTGTCATCAAGTTCGGAAACAACGCCAATCAACGAATGAGAGCGCAAAGGGATGATAATTCTACCGACAAGGGGCATCACATCTTTAGACCGTCAGTTGCCATCTCTCCTAACTTCGGGAACAGTTAACGAGCGGAGGGAGAGAAGAATAAATCGAACGACAGAAAACAACGTACGAGGTCACCAATCACGTTAAGGCGTACACAACGGACCAATTGTCCAATCGGCGCTGCAAAGAAGCCGTCCCGGTGTAATGGACACCCGGTACGTCCAGCAAGAGAGCCCCGGCCAAGGAAGAAAACTACGACGACGACAGTGGGGGGAACTATTGAACAAGGAAAAGGACGTCCGTCAATCACGTACCGTATCTAGCCTTTCCTTCTTCCCTTTTTGTCGTCGCTTTCACCACCTTGCCCGATTCTATTGAGATGGTTGGGCAATGGGAACGGAACCAGAGCCGCATGCTTCCCTTTTTGTGTTTAGTTTCTTTCGCTTCGCTCGGCTTTCTCATCAGCCATTTTCGCAGCCCAACCCAGAAGGTAAGGAAGCAAAGAGGTTATTATGAGCTGCGCGCGGCTCGGAAGGTCGGACCAGAGTGAGACCTGTTCGGACTAAGACCAAACCAGATGAGAAACCGAGCGAGTTCTTCGAGTAATCCATCATAACCGGCTCGGATTTCCTTATTTCCAACTGTCGGTCAGCAGCGGTCTGTGCCCTGACGAGCCGACGGACTGGGTACATAAATGAGACATGAGGCCGTGCGCGTTCGGACCGTTCTGTGGCATCCATGGCCCTTCCATCAGCTAGGGGATTCTCTCATCGGAATTTCGAGATGGGAAGCAACGAACCCATAGTGTACTAGACTCGCGTCGGTTACGTAGGCGACAGTCGGGATTGTCACACCACTCACAATCCACCCGGACGCTATTGGCAGCGGCGGTGTGACCGTTGGACCTTTGTAACTTCTTTTTCGAAGGTTGTTCCCCCGTGAGCGCCGTTCCTGAAAGTGGTCAAGATGTTTGATGTCGGGGACTTCCAGCTGTTAAAATTACGGCTAGACCCAGTGATCGACATGCTCAGGTGCGTTTTTGTAGTGTACCACTAGTGTACTGCACGGCACATGCTGTACCTTGCACTAGGAAATGCGCCCAGTTATCATTGGACGACCTTAGGATGTATGTAAACCTGACATATGGTTGGTACCTTGCAGTGTGTCCTGTGCTTCTAGTGTAGACCTCAAAGTTTGAGAGCAAGATGGGTAAATAGAAACCGCCAATGTGTTCCATTTATCATCGTAAGGATACAGCTGGGAGATAGTCCAGGCCACAGAGAGACGGACTATGTTGTATGGTACCGACCTCTGAGTACTACCGTAGCTCGTGGCTTCGGGTGATCTGTTCCCTTCAGTTGTAACGGGGTGACAAAATTGTTCCAAGTGCTGGAGCTTGACGAGGAGGAAGCGAAGCAAAGTGTACCAAATTGCCTGTGGGCTTGAAGAAACAAAGAGAGGAAAAGGAAAATTCTTGGCTGACTTGGCGCCCCGCAAGATAGGTATCTGGAGGACTTGGTGATGTGGCTTGTCAGCTAAGCATTTTGCCTGCATCTCTAGTAAACGCTATCAAGGCTGGGGTTTTCCGATGTACTGGTAAACACAAGAGGTGTATCCTGCAGCTGAATGAAGACCACTCATTGGCACAAACCTGCCAAGACGCCTAAATGCTAAATTTACACCGTCAAAGAAATTGGAGAGACACACGGCGACGAGTCGTGAACAGCGACAGAGCCTCCCGTAGAAGTATGATGACTCCTTACCTTAGAGAGATATCCAGGCGGGTTGCAATCCTCAACTCCTGGAGTAAGGTAGGTAGCCAGGAGCTATGCTTCATAATTAGTAGCGCTGTAGTTTATACCACAGCTTAGTGCCCTAGCTAGAGCTTCCACTTCCATGGTTGGAACCAGGAGGCGCAAACTTGTTAAGGTAGGTTAGCATAACAGTGTCCAGTCAGTCCTACCCCCCCCCCCCCCCCC